ACCTTGATTGATTGCCCCAGTTATATGCTCCGCGTAATAACCCGTCAACGCTGGGTCGCGAACACGGAGCCGTCCAGTACTTCGACTTTATCAGGAGACTTCAGGCTGTGGAGGGTAAGTTTGCTTTAAGTCCAAGTTTACTATTCGAATTTCATCTTAACATGTGCTATTGTCTCCAACTCCTAAAGTCTTCGGGTCGGAAACGCCAATGCTCGGCCATCGTCAGCTCGCTGGCGCCAAAGTCATGGAGTCGAGGAGAGCCACGTCACCTAATGAAATGTAAAAATTGCACAGAAGGGATATTGAGTGAATTCATATTGAAATTCTAGAAACATCGTTCTGGCCTCCTGGCAACCGCAGCAAATTTGCAAGGGCCTCCCCAGACCCAACGTCTGGCACGAGTCAATCAGGGGGCCACGATCTCCAGAAATTTAGGTTTACTTGCTTGGCTTGCCAGGAACACGATCATGCCCGAGTCTCCGAGTGACCCAAGCCCATGGCTCAGGAAGTGCCTCTCACTCCAAGCGCGAATTCGCTGCTCGCAACAGCCTCGTTTACTGTTGCTTGTTGTCTCGCGCCTTGACACATTGCGAATTAGCCTGAACAAAACACGGAGAGCTTCATCACACAGCCCCTCCTTGAACAAGCCCCTAACCAATCTGCCCCCACAAACAGACACTGCCGTTGCCAAGTGTTCCTTCACGGGATCTAGAATGCTAGCGTCCGAACTGTTGGTTCCCTCTTCTCTCAGGGGCTGTTGATTTCCATATAAGTAGGGCGAGAGATCGTCGAGTACTACTGATCTTTTAGGAAGCCATCATCAGCATCTAGCCTCTCGATCCAGTCTCTCTCTATACCAACACAATCGTTTCGATACTACCAACTTTCATTCCTTCGCTCAACTCCAATAATCTTGATTCTCCCAAATCAGCCACAATGCAGTTCACTTCCGCCCTCTTCTCAGTCCTCGCCATCGCCGGCCTGGCCGCTGCCCTTCCTGTAAGCTACCTCAACTTCTAGCATCATATCAGTTGAAATGATCTTCCACACCATGAACGACCGAGCTCAGCTACGGTTTAACATAAATGAAGATGAACTCAAACTAACAATCAAACAGCAGGCAACTCCTACCGCCACGGCCTCGGCGACCGCCACCCCTACCTGCTCCCCCGGCCCCACCATCGACTACACTGTCGTCTCCAACGACACCCTGACCATCATCTCCCAGAAGTACAGCTCTGGCATCTGCGACATCGCCAACGCCAGCAACCTCACCAACCCCAACTTCATTGCCCTTGGCCAGGTCCTCAAGGTACCCACCTACGTCTGCAACCCCGACAACACCTCCTGCTTGTCCAAGCCCGGCACCGGTACCTGTGTTGAGGGCGGCGCGGCCACCTACACCATCGTTGCCGGCGACACCTTCTTCATCGTCGCCGAGCGTCTCGGCCTTGATGTCAACGTTCTCCTTGCTGCCAACCAGGGTGTCGACCCTCTTCTGCTCCAAGTTGGCGATGTCATCAATATTCCCGTCTGTTAAAGAGCTCCCACGCTATGGATCTGGTGAATTTGTCTCGCAACAGGAACATTGGATTGACAAGATTGTCTGGGCCGAACTTGTAGAGTGGTATAGATCGTAGCTTACTGCACTAAAATTGAGCTGGATACAATCATTCACTTGCTGCCATCTATTTAACACCTGCGACATGTGTACTCTGAGTCTCCAATAACGTGAGCAGTCTTGATGTTATAGTAGTTACTTGTACCTAGCCAGCGCTACTGATAAACAGGCGCGAGGAAGGTTTTTGCGGTTTCCTCCACCTGTCATAGAAACCAAAGTACTTTGTATGAAACTAGCCAGCTCAACTCTCCCTCTCCCGATATCATTATATGAACAACTTTCGTTCAATTGCAATATATATAGCACCGTGCATGATCGAACTGATAAATTGATTTGAAACATCTCTGCGTACATAACTGATTCCGTAAGGCCTTGAGACATCAGATGTGACCATTGTTTGGGCCATGTTAGACAGATTTTGACGGTAATGACCACATTCAATGGCACAAGCTTTCAACGTGTACAAGCCCTCCACAGTTTACTGGTTGTAGTACATGTAAATATCCTTAATCTTGAAGTCGGCCTGGGTGGCAGGGGGTCCGGCACTCCATCCCTTGTCGCCGTTGGACCAGTTGTTAAAAACCCAAGGACCACTGGCAGAGGGCACGTCACCAGTCGTAGTCCATACCTGGACGCCATCAACGTACCAGGTAACGCGGCCGGGAGTCCAGTCGAGACGGTACTCGTGCTCGGTGGTAGTTGGGCTGGCAGGGGGTGAGATGGCGTTGTATGTCTTGATACCATCTCCATCAGCATCCTGGTTCGTGAGCCAGAGTTTGCGAGTTCCTTGGTTGCTAAGGGAAGCCGGATCAGAAAGCCACTCGATGTCAGTCTCTTGGCTGTCACTCTGATAGAAGAAAGCCCCTATAGTCGATTGTTAGTACCGAGTGGCAGATTCTGGGGCGCGAATACGTGACTTACCGTTGCAGACTCCAGCAGGCTCACTGAAGATAGCGACAGTACGAACTGAGGCGTACTTGACGTTGAAGGTCGTGGAGACCTCGGCTGCGCTGTAAGGCATGACTGTCTGGCCGCCAGGAACCTTAAGATTCATATACCCACTGCCGACAACCACATTGGCTGCGTCGAAGCGATGGGTTGGCGGGTCAGAAATGTTCCATGTGCTCTTGTAGAGGCCACTGGGAAGGGTAGTGCCACTGGCAAAGTTGAAAATCTGGCGCTTGGCATATGCGTAGCCGTCCACAACGTATTGGCCATTTGTAACAGTCGGCGCAGGAGACCGAGTCAAAGCAAGGACTGGGGTGATTGCCACGAGGGCAGATGCGATAAATGAGAAGTGCATTGTGATTTGAATGATCTACGAGAATAGGGGGTTTGGTCTGGATAGCTTGAGTTTCTCTTCCATCCTATTTTCCAGTGAGTAACACTGAGTTACTTATAGTCTTCAAACATAGTATCTACTTCACTTCGCGAGGTCTAGCCAGGCCTCATAGCCTGGGCACGTCATGATCAGTTTCTCGACGATGAGAACGCAACGTTGCCTGAATCCTGCAACGCAAGTCCATTGCATCTCGCATGTCCCCTGCATACTGGCCGATGACCTGCTTGAAGGAAGGCGAGGGCATCCGAGGAGACGAATGACGCTCTCGCGAACTAACAGGGTCATGAAGGTGGGTAGCGCACTTTCTCAAGGGATGGAAATCGGAAATCACTCAAGGCTCCGCGCAGCCAAGAAGAAGTGGTCCCTTCCAACCACCAATCGTAACATCCCGCTGCGAAACATGTAGCACACCCCTCCAGACCATTTCGAGCAGTTCTCTCATTGCCAAGTCCGAGCCTGAAGGGTCTATGAGGCTGGATTTACGCTGACGGGTGTGGCGTTGGCATGCGAATGCAAAGCTGGCATTCTCCCTTGCCTCGATCGGCTCGGAGTTTCCATATGATAATACCGGGTTCTAGGGAAGTCAGCCTTCACCTTTACTCCCTTGATATTGCCATCGGCCGAGAAAAAGTCCGCACTTGATTATCGTCACAACCTTAATCAGGGCGAGAAGTAAGACATCCTAGAACTCCGCGGTCGATGGCGGTAAACTGCAGCGATGGCAGGAGCTGCATGACCGAGTTCGATGAGGAATCATCCACGCGCCTACAGCGGCAATCCTCTCCATCTAAGGACCGAAGCCCCTGCTTCTCGGACTAGAAGCCCGCAGCCGCTCCCTTGACGGGCTGTCCCGCCCCGCTGCCGGAGTAACACGCGTTTTGCCGACTGGTCTACTTTATCTCACGTCAGTGCAGGCACCCCGAACTCTATCTGACTACATCCTGACCCCGCCTGATATGTCGGTCAGCAATGGTCTATCTTATCTATTGGTAGAATCACGTCCTGAAGCATCAGAGCTGATGAATCGTGTCATTCCTCGCTCCATCCACCCATGAAGGCGGGTTGCCGATGATGCTCCGGTGGTCTGGAAGAAGAGTGGATGGCCACATTGCATCAAATCCTAATATTTGGGTCATGGTCAAGATGGGATGAACTAACACCAAGTGAAATAGGAAGGTGGGGGGAGACAGACGATCGTCTTGTCTCGGCTCCTCACGGAATCGCCTAACTGGCGAGACCCAGCTGCAAGGTGGTGGACAAGAAAATCACCTCGTCAGCCTCGGCCTGCCTAGAAATGTGACAAAGTCGATAAATGTGATCACTGTCTCACAAAATGTGATGCAATGACCTCATATCTTGAGTCCAGACCACGATGTGCACTCTGTTTGGAGAATGGTTCGACTAAAGCAAGGCCCGGCTGTAGGCTGTACGAGTTCGTGCAGGCTGGCACAGCTGGAAGGCCGGCCGGGCCTTCGAACAAATCCATCTGACTTGTAAAAATGCTGCAGGAGCTTCTCGAAGGATCAATATCATAAGTGCCCGGTCAGCAATACGAGTACTTCGGCGAGAGCTCCAAGTTGAGATAGGCCCTAATTCTCACATGTTGAGGCGGAACTTTGTCCACTGCGAACCAGCCCTTCACGCTTCATCGCGCTTCAATTGTTTGTGAGGGATTCTTTCGAGTCAAAATCTTAGCAAGCTTATCAAATGAATGGCCATGTTGCGTCTAATCTTGATCCTCAATGTTTGGATCCTCGTGGTGGAGAGATGACTACCGTCGACACACTATCTTCTAGTTTATCGTGAGGAGTCCATGCTAGGCATATCTCCTGCTTAATCATTGTTAATCAATGGTGCTACGGGACCGGTAATTTTACTCGCCACAGGTTTGATGGTTTTGAAGACATTATATTGCAGGTACATGATGTTGTATAAGCCTCTTCCAGAAAGACACATGTAAAATTCGCTATTTATGAATACTACTTCATTATATCCTATTTTGCTCTTTCTACTTTTGGTACCGACTTTTCTCCTCCCTTACTTCGAAGTACCCATAACCTTCTTCCGCATTGTTCCTCGAGTAAGATGGTTCAGGGGAGCTGGTTCATACTTCAACTTCTTCTTCTTCTTGTTCACTACCACGGGCACGACCTGCTTCTGAGCTGCGAGCAGAAGTGCACGTCGAGCTGCTGTTTGAACTGCTGTCTGGCCTGTGCCTTCCTCCGAGATAACAGAAAGAGGTCGGTGGGCAGTGTATGGCGGAGGATCGTAGCTGATAGGCCAAACTGCAGCATAAGGGTGCATATTATTCCCGGCGTTGACCACATGCGAGTGATTGCTCCCGTCGACAAATGTTGTAGAAGGGTCTGCTTGGCCACTGCTTCCTTCATGTTCGCTTCTGTGAGGGCTTTGGGAGCCGGATCTGCTGGAGTTGGGACTCGGTGTGTTCAGCTGAGATCCCTCAGCGTGCTCGTCCATCGTAGTGCCGCTATAGTGGGACGAGGCGCCGGGGCTGGTGTCCCGAGAGGTTGATTGGCTAGAGGGAACGGGCTTGCGTCTGATCTCGAGTGGTGTCAGGTGCTGATTTTGAAGATGAAGGTGCCACTGATCACCATATCTCTCTCGATAGGCGGCCTCGACGATCTGGTTGACGAGGGCCTGCTCTCTCATTCTCTCTTCTTCCATACTTTGCGTGAGTTGGAGAAGGCGTCGGTTTTCCTGCTCGATGGGAGTCAAATTCGTCGGAGCGTTATAGGTAGTTGGACCAACTGTGGCAGGGGAATATGGCATAGGCTGCTGCACATGGGTTGATGATTGAGGAGGAGGCCTCGGTTTTCCCGCACCGGAACGACGATTTCTGATAGATGCTAAGAGTCCCATGGTTGCGGTTTCCGAAGAGGTGATGTGCAATTATGATGACGACAGAAGTAATTAGTGATGTTGATGTCCCAGAGATCCAATATGGATTAGATGTAACACAGATGCAGGTTAAAGGATGAAGGTGCGGATGGCAAGAAGAAGTGTCAAGGGGAATTTCTCATAGCATACCTAGAGCAATAACCTTCGGAGATAGATCCAAAATGGCCCTACCAGACGTAGAAGGACTCTGGTACTTACCATCGCGGCCTGGACTACCAAGAACGGCAGCGGACGTTAGAGTTCATGTTGAACTTTACGTGGACTTCGGAGAAAGGACCTTCAGACAAAACTTAATGTTAAGTCCCAAGGCATCAACAGCGCATGGCATTTCATGAAGTGAGGCTTTCTCTGTTCACATTCTTTATGGGCTGTCTATCTCAGTTCTATCAGAGCTTCGCGCCAGCCTCGCGCTTCACAAGTGCCCTTAGATCTTTGCGCAAGATCTTTCCAGAGGGACTCTTTGGGATGGCATCAATAAAAATCACGCCGCCACGAAGTTTCTTGTAACTAGCAACCTGATCTGCCACCCACTTCTGGATTTCTTCGGCAGAAATCTTTTTCTTATCGGCGACCACATAAGCTCTAGAAGGACGTTAGTTCACTGGTTTATGCTGGCTAACGGAGTTGGAAGTTGCGTACCTTGGAAGCTCGGTGCCTTCGCCTTCGACGCCAATGACGGCCGCATCTTGGATCTTCGGGTGCGTGACCAGTAATGCTTCAAGTTCGGCTGGAGCCACCTGGAAACCGTTGTATTTGATGAGTTCCTGAGGTTTGTTAGCTATAGTTCCATCCGAGGTAGCGCGTACCAAGAAAGCAAATAACACGAACCTTTTTCCGATCCACGAAGTAGAACTTTCCATCCTTGAACGACAATCGGTCGCCAGTGCAGAACCAACCATCAACAAATGCCTCCTTATTGGCCTTATCGTTCTTGTAGTACCCCTTGGTGATGATTGGCCCACGGCACCACATCTCTCCCGGCTGACCAACCTCGACGTCCTTCCCCTCATCATCGACGAGCCGAGCTTCGCAGTTGGCCACAATCATGGACACGCTTCCCGTGTCATCTGTGAGATGGCGGGGAAGAATCGTGAACCCGCCGGTAGTTTCGCTGAGACCCCACGTCTGGCCGAGGATCGCTTTTCCCTTGCCCATTTTTCGCTGTGCTTCGGCTTGGGTTTCGCCTCCTAGGGCCGCGGCTCCCGTGAGAGCGAATTCCACGGTGTCGAGATGATCCTTGACCAGCGGTGATTTCGCAATCATGAGATAGATAGGCGGCACGCTGAAGAAGGATGTGATTTTGTACTTTTTCGCGTAGTCTAGAAATTCCACAAAGTTGAACTTCTTCATCCAGTAGACGATGCCGCCCATGAAGGTCTGGTTGACGATGTAGGCTTGGAGACCAGAGATGTGAGCTGCCGGTAAATGTGCGAGCGTGATGTACTCCATCTTCGGGTGCGTCTTGTAATATTCTATCGTCGGCGTCGAGATGAACATGGTCTGCGCAATCATGTTTGCATGAGAGATTCTGACCGCCTTTGGGATACCAGTCGTGCCACTGCTGTAGATGTAACAGCCGACAGTGTTTTCGAGTCTCGTTTGGTCCGTCACCCGTTCCCAGTCGAGCTCCTGTGACGAAAGAGGCACACGCTTATCCGTCTTAGCCTCGAAGAGCTGGAACTCGTGGCTATCGCCGATGTAGAGAATCCGATCGTCGGGTAGTCCCGCAGCTGATCCACCAGCAGCGGCGAGCGCCTTGAGGTCAGGGCTGCAGATGACCATCTTGCTCTCGGTGAGGTTGATCTGACGCGCGACCTCTGGCGGGGTTGAGGACGGCGTTGACGCCGCGACGGTGCCGCCCGCTGCCATGATACCGTAGAAGACGGTGGGAGCCATGTAGTGGCCTGTGAAGATGACCTGCACCACGTCACCCTTGTTGATGCCGTACTGGTGGCGGAGGGTGTGACCAAGCTGTTTGAGAGCCTTTACTAGGCGGGATTTGGTGATTGATCTGGATGGATCGGCCGCGTCGGCGTGGAGGACTGTGTCATCGCGCAGTCTTTCATTTGGTGAGTCTGCATCCTGTCAGTACGTGTGTTTGGCGAACAGTGGAGGATGCTGTTGTGTGTTAAAGGTCTGCGTGACTGTGAGACTCACCGAATAGAAATGTGAGGAGGTCGACTTTGGGGAGATCGATGTGATCCGGGGACTTGTAAATGGTCTGGCCGCCCCGCTTCTCTACAACAGTCGCCATCTTGAGTGATGCCGGTTTCCAAGATCTGGAACGCGTTGTTAGGATAATATCTCAGGCCTGCAACGCAGATAGATAGGTCGTGTCTGAAGCTCTGCTCTACTATAAAGTATTTCCAGCTTGGTGTGTGCTCGCGTCAACGCAGAAAGGGGGAGAGGTAGGTGAGATGGAGATGAGCAGCCTCAAGAAGGTTAAATTGGAGTCAGGGTGAGACGTCGGAGGAAGTGATTGTCAGAGGTCAATGCACGCGGAACGAATTACTACTCAGTAAATCAGACGTGAAGAAGTGAGTTTTTGGAGAAGAGCTGACCGAGAAAAGAAGACGTTGTGTGAATCGAGCAGCTCACTAAGATAGCTTTCCCCGCATTGCATCTGTTATCAAGATCCGGGCCCGTCTCATGCACCGAAGCCGTGGGAAGCCGCAGGTTAGTCCCCGCGCACGCGTTTCGCGAAACCATAGCTAATTAGAATGGCCGCCCAGTGCCGAGGATGATTCTACACAGAGGGAGGATCGTTGCTCTGCCCGCTCGCCGACGTTCCAGTCTGCTTACTCGTTGGGGTAACCGCTTCGTTAGCGTCGAGTCTCCGAAGCTTGCCAGCGTGTTGGCTGCGCCCTGACGCCCTTTGGTGGGGGAGAGCAAGCTTGACCGGGGTCGGTGTGTGTGTGTGTGTTTTGCCCTTTTGCCTCTAGGCTGTGGATGTGCGGGGAGATTCCGTGGCGTTGAGCTATGATCCCTGCTCTTCGTGTGAGCTTCTGCCGGATTTGAATCGAGGTTGACGAGTCAAAAGATCGAGGCATCTGATGTACAAGCGCTACTTCAGCTGAAATGTTTACCATTGACAAGACCTCGGGATAGTGACTTCGAGTGTGCGCATAGTCATGAGCTACGTCAGGTATCCAGACTCAGGGCTCACAAATCTCAAATTTCCAAGAAACGCTCGCTGACCGGGATCTCTGGATCCAGGTGAACAGGTGAACAGCGACTGCGCAAGACATCGAGTGATAAACAGGAAGAAACCACTATTGTTCAATGGCAAGTCTTCCCAATCGGACAAGAAGTGATACTTGTGATTCCTTCTCTTCATACAAGTACCTAAGCACTTTATCTATTGCTGTGTCCTCTCATCCAGTAGCTGAATCCTACAGGAGAACATGAAGAAACTCATCGAGAGTTAGGTGGTGACACTTTCTCATAGCCTCCTTCAAAAACATCCACCTCCGTCTTGTCAAACTGCCTCGTCGCGGTATTGTTGTGAAAGAGATAATCCAGCTCCTCGTACGTGCGCCCCTTTGTTTCCGGCAGCCGGAAAAATGCCCACACAAATGTGAGAAACGCCGAGGTTCCCCAGACGAAACCCGTAGTACCCTTGAGATTCAACGCGTTCGGATTGATAAAAAATGGCTGGAAGGCGTTTGCCAGTAGATTCATCACATAATAGGTAGACCTCGCGACACAAATGGTCTTCTGCCGTAGACGCGTAGATCCAACCTCGGCTGGGATAGCCCACCCAAGCTGACCGACCGATAGCTGGAAGATAAAAGTCCATACCAGGGTAAGACAGGCTTGGACCCAGCCTATGGGTGACGATGGTGCATTCGGCAACCGGCCTATCCTGTCGAGGACACCGATGATGAAGAGTATAGTGGACATGCTAAACATGCCCCAGAGATAGATGCGACGACGGCCAAAGTACGGCATCAGCGCGACCCAATTGACGACGGTCCCCACCAGAGCTAGCGCGGTACCGCCGACATTGAGGTTATAATCATCTTGCGGGTTCAGCCCGGCTTGCTGAAAGAAGTATACTGAGTTGTAGGCGAAGCTCGAGCCGGAGAGGACTTGGCCTGCGAATGCTACGCATGCGATCTCTGTGCGGCGACGTTCGACGCCGCGGAAGCAGTCCCAGTAGGTTGTTCCTGTCTGGTGCTCCTGCTCCATTCTATCGGTTTCTATGATTTCACGTAGACGGACTTTGGCGTCTAGGTTGTTAACTTTTCGCCTTTGGAGACGTAGCAATGCCTTCTCCGCCTTGTCGAGCTGGCCGGTCCTGACAAGATGCCATGGGGACTCCGGAGCAAATACCAGCAGCGGGATAAGCAGTACCGGCCAGGACCATTGTAATGCGAACGGGATTCGATAGGACCACTCGTCTTTCCGCGGCAGTAGCCCCGCGAGTACGGCCGCGGACATGAGCTGGCCGATGATGAAGCACATGTTGGTCCACGTAGTCAGATACACCCGCAGCGTCAACGGCAAGACCTCAGACGCATACGCGGGTGCTGAGGATGCGAAGACGCCCCAGGGCAGGCCGCACGCGATCTGACCAAGCATGAGCATGGTCTTATTGGTTGCAAAGAAGGTGATGAAGATGCAGCCGGAGAGTACGAAGAGAGAGCTGATGAGGGCTGTCTTTTGGCCGCACCGCTCAACGAGGAAGCCGTTGGCGATGACGCCGATGATGCAGCCAAAGGTGCTGCTGTTGCCGAGGACAGCTTGCCAGAGGGCGGAGAGCTGGTCTCGACCTTCATTATCTTTGCCATCGCCGAACTTCTTTGCGAATTCTGGGTGGGCGAAGAAGCTGCCGATGAGGATGGTGTCGTAGCCTATGAACTCATTAGCTTGGAGTACTCACGTAGTTGTCTCTAACGTTGAACCGACCTTCCATGATCACACATAGAGACACGACAAGACTCCAGAATACGGCCATC